TTTGGAGATACCAACTTGATAGCAAAAACTTTACCAAACCTTGACGGTGATGCTGGGGCCAGTACAATAGCTCTCCTTATTCTTCCACAATAGTGCCTTATAACTCAAAAATAGAAAGACTTATTTAAAGTATAAGAGACACAAGAGAAGGTTTTGGTGACATTTGTTGAGCCACATTCACTATTCATATATACATGTACATTCTTGCCATGTTCCGAGACATTTTAGGGGTCAAGTTTTTACTAGCACCAACACAGTAGAGGTCATATGGTGATTTTCCAGCTTTACTGATGGAAAATGTCCTTGAGTGCCCTTCATTGCATCCACTGGCAACCAAGAAGAACCGAACTGGCTTCCTAGGTACCTTGAGGGGCTAGTGCGTTAAGCCATTGACCATAACCATTCAGCCACTGATGCCCCTTCCAAAACAAATGGTGAGATTTATTTATTTCATTTGGGACAGACTGAAAGTCAATCTGATTTTAATATCTCCTGTTTTATTGGTGAGGGAAAATAAATACATTTTATCCAATGGTGTTGCTAATTTTTAATGTAAGATGACCCAGTACTTATACCAAACCGTGATTTTGCTGTTTGTTAGTGTTCTCTATCTTAGAATCATCCAATAACAAAGGAATGTACACCTTGTGTTATTTATCATTTAGAATTACCTAACAATTTAACCTGTCCCAAAAAACTCCACATATTGACAGTTGACCCCCAGAGAAGGTTCCATATCTGGTCTTTATTGACAGATGACCTTTTAGAGTCTGTTTCAGTCTCACACTGACACCAAAGTAGATCTTCCAATTCTCCTTAACTTAATTGAATAAATTTCTTGCATAAAACAATCCCAGGTCAGTATGCGAACCTACAATGGAGTCTGAGACTTTGACCACTTGGCCATAACCTGAACAACTCAGTCCTGACCTTAACAACTTGGCCAAACAGGCCACAGTATATACATTAAAGTACACGTAGTCTAACAGGATTTTTACTGTTCATCTCAAGGGAATACTATTTTTATTATTATATCAAGTCAAAAGGTTCCATTGAGATAACAGTTGGCATCAATATATAATCCATACATCATTGTCATTACACACATGTATCAAAATAGATTTTCAATGCTTCTAATTATATGTCATACATGAAAATAAAATATTCTGCACTAAAACAACAAAATGAACACAATGAAGAATGCTGAGAGGATCTCTATACATCATTTATGACCTTAACCACTCAGTCTGACCTTAACAGCTTGGCCAAACGCCACAGTATATACATTAAAGTACATGTGAGTCTATGCAGGAGTTTTGAGTTCATCTCAAAGACAGGAATACTATATTTTATTATTGAGTCACAAAGGAATTTGCATTGAAGTTAACAGATTGGCATCAGATATATATAATCAGTACATCCATTTCATACACAATCATGTATCAAAATATATTTTTCAATGTTATGAAATTTTATATGTACATACATGACAAAATAAAATATTACTGGCACTTAAAACAACAAAATAACAACAATATAGAAATGTGTGCAAAGATTATTCATACTAAAACGTCAATAGGAAGGTGTCATCCAATGAATGTATTTAAGATACATTTATTATTATCAGTTGGAATGGCAAAATAGAATATCGTATCTAAAACATTGTTTCCAAAATCTAAGAAGTTACACATGTAATCAGGCAAACTTTGACCCAGATACAAACTTGATTGCACCCAGATACATGCTAAAATACATCAAGATTGCATCCAGATACAAACCAGATTGCATCCAAACTTCCAGATACAAACCAGATTGCATCCAGATACAAACCAGATTGCATCCAGATACAAACCATATTGCATCCAGATACAAACCATATTGCATCCAAAGTTCCAAACTTCCAGATACAAACCAGATTGCATCCAGATACAAACCAGATTGCATCCAGATACAAACCAGATTGCATCCAGATACAAACCATATTGCATCCAGATACAAACCATATTGCATTCAGCAACAAGCTTAAATACATCCAGATATAATCCATGTATAAACCAATTGATCAGCATTACATACAATTACATTAAATTGCAGATACAAACTGATCACATGGATAAAAGCTAATGTCCTATAAACAGAATGTATGCATAGAATTATAAAACAGATGCATCCAGATACAACAGATCAACCACAATGGTTTGCGACCAAAGATCAGACATGCCTGCATCAGAGTAATCAGGACCACCTTCTACAGTTTCACCAATACATGGATAAATAGTTGATTAGTACAAACTGATGCATCCAGATAAACAGACTGAATAGTACAAACATTTTTAAATTTGCAGGTGGTATTCTGTCACACCTAAAGAAATGCCTAACACAAAGTTAGTATTGCAAGCTTTCTTAATGCAATATCAAGTAGAGAGTAGGTACTGCAATACACACTGCTGCCCGAATATTACATGTACACTACAGTATTCTGGTAATTACCTTTTTACAGGTAAAACAATACCTCTAACAGGTGATGAAATCTGATATATAAATGGTAATATTTATTTTTATACCAAACAATTCTAGTGAATTAACTCTCAATGATTTGATATGTGTGTATAATAACTGCCATTTACAACATAGAATAATTTGCTTGCATATATGAACTTATACAAACATGTGATGAAAATGCATGGTTATCTAATTTGCATGATTATGCTAAGTATGCACCTTTTTTCCTTCCAAATACAAATGTAATTATACTGAAGTTCATCAACATTACTTTCTGCACTAAAATTGCATGCCTGCTGATAAATTTAACACTTTACTGTGATTTCTTAACACTCTTTTTCCATAAAAATAATAATCTTAAAACTTTTTTAAAAAATGAGTAAAAATGTTAACACTACCCTCCACCCCCAATCTTTTTTTTTTTTTCCATAAAAAATCTTAACACTCATTTTCCATAAAAAATGTTCATAATTTTTTGCCATATAAAATCTTAACACTTTTTTCCATTAAAAAAAATCAAACAAACAGGAATAATATTTAATTCAATAGTTTAAGAAATGCATAATCACTCTCAATGCAACTGGCTTTTTGAATGTTAGATGCAAAACATTCAGTGATTTTTTTTCACTTAATTGCAAGAGGCTGATTGGGAAGTAAAAAAGCAGGTTTAAGTTCAGATTTTTGGGAAAACTGCATGATTTTTAAAGAAAATTTCAAATGGTAAGAGGCCTTTTATCAGTCTGTTAAATAAGCAGGAAAATCACTGACATTACAAAACTTTCTATTCTTTTGATAGGAAGATTTGTTTTATTTACAATTATTTCTACCCCATTTGCTTCGTTATTGGCGATTCATTTTCGATTCATTTTCTAAGAATAAAAAGTAGAAACTTGGAGAAATGTGGTTTATCTTTAACCAGCTTGAACTGGAAGTGATTACCCTTTGCCATCAGTCTAGATCCAGCTTGCTCTTCTGTAGGCTTACTAGGGTCTACTACTGTTGACTGACCAACTTGAAATTTTCATTTTTTGATCAAGTTTAACATCGCATCAACATAGAATAGGTCATATTGCGACTTTCCAGCATTACTACCGGAGGAAGACCTTGGGTGCCCTTCCATGCATTATTTCAGACATGAACAGATGGGCACCTGAGTAAAACCATCACATGTAGGTAAATCATTACAGTCTGATAAAAAATTACGTAAACCAAGATCTTAAACTTCAGCAGAGTAAAATCCTTCAATCGCAAACTTTAAGTGTCAGGGGTGATAACTCAGTAATCCTATGAAAATTTCTAGGGGAGTTAACTTCAAATTGTTTAACAGAGCACTATCCTATCTCAATTACTACAGCAGTTAGTGCAGTATAGTGACAGGACATAACTTTAGTGCAGTAACGGGCTAACACCTATTGAATTATTTGAGGCGATAACTGGTTACTGTACAAAGGTGACAAAGTTTTGTTTGTTTGATTGGGTTTTACGTCACATTGACACAGTATTGGTCATATCGCAACGTTCCAACTTTACTGGTGGAGGAAGACCTCAGGTGCCCTTCCTTGCATTATTTCAGGCACGAACGGGCACCTGAGTAGAACCACCGACGTTCCGTAAGCTAGCTGGATAGCTTCCTCACATGAAAGTACCTTTCAGGATTTGAACCCACAGCGGTGAGGGGGAAAGTGGTAGGTGACAAAGTATTGTGATTCATGCTCAATCTCAGAGTGAAGTTTATATAAATCTTAGACTGGTAAGCTAACCTGGTACCTTAACAGGAAGAAAAAAGGTTTGTTTCGGACTTTATGACCGACAAATATGAGAAGTGTCAGACCCATCATTTTTATGTCAGCTAGAAGGAAATCATATCAAAATTGTCCCCGTTATCCTATTCCTGAATATCTTGAAATTAATCATCTCTACGTCCAGTAACGTCCGCTTTCATCTGAATCTGTAGCACTTAGTTTTGAACATGTATGTATCACATTTTAATGTTTTCTAATGCACATTTTTTTTTAAAAACTTTTTGTATCACAACCAATAACAACGGCTACACTGGGTCTACGTGACTTAATAGTCCGTTCTGACCACTGTTACTATTATTAGCCGAAGAGTCTGATTGGTTGCTACCTAAGAGACCGTCAACCTCCCGGCATCGTTGCCGGGGACCGGGTTCCGGTGTATAAGTAAAAGTTAGTCCAGTAGAGTATATAACACCATCATTTCGTACTAACAAAACAGGAACCTGAAAAAAAAAAACAAAATATTTAGGCTTTTTTTTTTATCAAATTCTGATCACTACAAAATATAACTTTCAATAATATATTGAATATCTTTACTCTTTGCTTTTAATATATTTTTACCTATAATATCATACAAAACAACATTATGCAGTGATGAAAGTTAAATATTACATTTGTAAACTGGGGTCACAAAATTTGTCAAATCTGTTTTATTCCACCTGTCCCAGGTGACATAATTACCAAGCCGTTGAACTTTAGGCAATGATTTCTCTACTTCTATAGAAGTGAAATCTAAACTATTATTACACAATGAAATCTTAACTAATGCAGGGCTGAAATCTTAAATTTTATAGAAGTGAAATCTAAACTATTACAGGACTGAAATATTAACTAATACAGGGCTGAAATCTTAACTATTACATTTTTACAGGATGAAATCTTAACTAATGTAGGGTTGAAATCTTAATTTCTATAGAAGTGAAATCTAAACTATTACAAGATGAAATCTTAACCTATGCAAGATTAAAATCTTAAATTCTATAGAAGTGTAACCTTAACTACTTCTTGAATAAAATATTTACTATTATGAAAGTGGAATTTTATCTATTATAGGAATGAATTTGAAATCTTAACTACGTAAATGAGTAAAACAACAGCATATTATCAGCTCATACCTGCAAAGGTTGTTTAACAAATCTCCAGCTTGCTCTGAAGGCACTAATGTCGGGCACAACACAGAGCATGCCATCTTCACACCTGTACATTGTTTCCGCCTCCACATCTCCAAACCACACCCGTAACATTGGAGTAAAATTGTCACCTACTAAATCTAACATAGCCACATCACCTCCTCCATTTAACTGAAAATACAAAATATATATACTCGTAAAGCAGCATGCCTCCAGATCCACGCTAATTTTCAGGAAAATTACGAAAATGTATTTAAAACAACAATTTTGTGAAGTGAACAAAGAAAGTGAGTTACACTTACAATCCATATAAATAACCAGAAAGATATCAAAATATGCAAAAATGGCCTTTACAGCATTAGTCAGGCAGTAGACTAATGCAGTAGATATATGGTGATAAATTATATGGTGATAAATTAAATACTGCAAAATCAGTCATAAATCGCACGCAACATGTAAATTATTACTTGAATCTTTTTACTTTTCTTAAAATCTAGTTTGACTTTCTTGAAATATTTTGGTTCATCATGCAGCTTAATCAATTGCGATAGGAGTAAACAATATGCATAATACCAGAAACCGAAAATTCCACTTATCATGGGTTATTACGAGTAGAATTTAAGAGCACTCAACGTAAGACGAGTGGAAAATTGTGACCTTTAATTGGGATTTAGAAGCCACTTGTCCTGCTGAACGAGTGACTCTGAAAATATTTTTCGATGCCTGAATACCAACAGGTAATTTCATTCAAATTTGTCTTGTAACAGAGGTCATTCTAAAATTACCATTGTCAATTTAAACTTTTGGCTTTTACTTACACTCCTATTCCTCCTTAATTTTCTTATTTAAACAAGGAATGTACCAATTTGGCAGACCTATATCCTTTTCTACAGGAGTGCACTGCAAGAGCACAGGCTTTTTACCCTTAATGTGCTGGAACCAAAAATGTTAATCCTTTGCCACCAGTATAGAGCCAAGCCAGCCTGCACTTCCGTGCAGTCCTGACCAGGCTCTATACTGTTGACTGACAAACTTTAAATACTCAAATTTATATCCCTAAAATTAATAATGGACAGTCCCAAAAAATGGAAGTGGGACAAGTCCATTTAAAATATTCAGCATGTTAACAGTGAAAAACAACTTGTCATCACCTACCTGTAAGCTATTAACTACTGGCACAGGAGTAACTGGTTCCTTGACCGGCCCCATGCCCTCATAAAACGTATATTCAGCTTTGTCCGTACTAATTATAGTCCACGATGCCCCATCATTGATCATCTCTTTGTTGGCCTCTTTTGGACATGGCGTCGCCTGTGAATACAAAAACCATAATCAGCAAAAAAATTTAACATAATTTAAATAAATAGAATGCTTTTGATATTGAAAAAGATGGAATTTAACAGCAAATGTGTCTTAAAGGCCCATTATTTTGCATCTTTAGTTCTGTTGGCAATAGGTATAATTTTAGTGAATTAGCATTTTGTATGGGAGTCAAAATACTAGCTTGTTTACATTTTGTTACCTTTACAACAAATAACTGCATTTTCAGCGCTACTTTTTTTAGTTGTAAAACATCCAACATGCACTTAATTCATTATTTAAATATACTAAACACATGTTTGACATTTCTAAAGAATTAAACAAACATGTCATAATGTGCCTTTAAAAAACAACAACAATAAATCAATTGCTACCTAATTCTGAGTCATGACATTTAACAACTATTTCAGATTTATCTACTCAATGGTAAACATTCATCAACTTTTATAAATCCTGTATGTTGTAATTAAGGAAGTGAAAGTTTATATATGTTTATAATTTTTCTTCTAAAACAATTTCATATGAAGAAAGACCTCAGGTGCCCTTCAAAGCATTTTTTAAGTTAGCAGTAAGTATTAAATACATATAGTTTACAGTTTATCTAGTAATAATGAATGGCAATGCAGAAATGCTATGATTAGGGAGATGCAAGGTACATTTATATATACATACTAGTGCAATTTGGGTACATTTTAAGCGCAGGTTTTTGTTTGGTTTCATAACAGTGTGGACTTAAATTCACACATTACTCTTTGCGAAAAGTATACAAAAATGTATCATACATCACATGAACAAATGTGATTTCACAGAACCTAGCCAGAATAATTATTCAACTAATGCATATAGACTAGTATCATACATTGGTTAAACCAAACAGAAGTATTAACAAACCTCAAGAAATCAGCCTTATACTCGTATGATATAGGTACAGTGTTCACTAGCCATGAAATCCTGAGGGTCATTTTGACTAGGTTTTACTGACAACAAAGCCAAATCCCCATATTTTAACAAAATTTTACCCTCCAGTTAAAATCCTGGGGGTCAAATCAGGCCTTTTGGAAATTTGAAGGGCCAAAGAGTCATTTCAAGGGACAAACGAACACCCTGGACAATGATATATATGTATAAGTACAATCATCAAAACAATTATCTAAAAAAATAAGAACCCTACCTGGAACTGTATAATTCTCTCTTGTGAAAGACATAGGTACATTCTTTCTGTATCTTTCAAATAGAAGGCACATTTATGAAGCTGTGAAACAGGGTCGTCTGCATCTAACACCGCAGTCTGCTTATCTACTTTACGTATCACCTACAAGGAAATAAAATAACATAATATGAATGTACCTTTGCTTGTAATTCAAGTGATATACCAAACACTGTAAGGACCATATGGTGACATTCCTGCATCTTAACATCTACTATCTCACAAAGGAAAGGACATCTGCTACAAGATTATAACTATATCGCCATTTCAGAGTATTAAATGATCTATGAAAATTTTGTATAGTATTTTTAAAACAAGATTGCATTTGAGAAAATGCTATGCCACCGCATTAATACAACACTCAATAGAAGTGTAGGAACAAATACTGTTGAAGAACGGGTCTTTTATTAACTTTGTATATTATTGTCTGGATGAGTCGGTACCAATGCAAAACCAACGTATTACTATAAACTGCTAGCATTCCCTTGCAGAAAGATAAGCAGACGACAGCCTAAATTTCAATGACTACATCAAAGGACAACACAGTAAGACACTTTGTAAAAATCTAGGTCAGCTGATATCAAAGTTCACTTTACATCTTAATCTGTGCACATGGTTTCAAAATTTCATAGCTGTACATCAAAAGACAAGAAAGTAAGTCACATAATCAAAATCTAGGTCACTTGATATAAAAAGTTCAGTTTTACAACTAAAACTGTGCACATGGTCAAAAATTTCAATTACTGTAACATCAAAAACAAGAAAGTAGGTCACTGTCCCCTTGGGCAAGGCAAAATTTTGACCCAAGGGTTTTAATTTCAAAACAATCTGATACAGGTCCACCAAACAACATTTCAAGTCATAAATTTTAAGCTGTAGCCTTCTCCCATTCAGAAAACATTTGTTTTATTTTCTGTTTTTATTATGGTGATATAATGAATAATCACTGCCCCCAGGCAGGGCCGATTTTGACACCAGGGGAAAAATTTGAACAACTTGGGTAGAGGACCTACAGATGATATTATATAGCAAACATCAAAGCTCTATGCCTTGTACCTTCAGACAAAAATAGTTTTTATTTTGTTTTTTACTATATGTACAGAATGAAAATCAATGAACCCGGGGGCGGAACCAATTTTGACCCCAGGGCTATAATTTGAACAATCTAAGTAGAGGTTCACTTCCCAAAGTCTCATGTCATAAACTTAACCTCTAGCCTTTGTCAATTCAGAGAAGTAGATTTTTTCAAGTTTTTACTTTATACATATATAGGAAAACTATCGGCCTCTAGGGCAGGGCAATTTTTCACTAGGGGCATAATTAAAAACAACTTAGTAGTAGAGAACCTCATAGATGATATATTATGTACCAAAAAATCAAAGCTCTAAGCCTTGTACCTTCAGACAAGAAAATTTTTTAATTTTTTACTATATGTACATAGTGAATATCAAATACCCCTGGGGGGGGGCCAATTTTTTTGACCACCAGGACTATAATTTGTACAATCTTGCTAGAGGTTCAATACTTAATGTTTCATGCAAAATATCTTAATCTCTAGCCTTTGTTAAATTTAGAGAAGATGATTTTTTTAAGTTTTTTACTATACACATATAAGGAAAACCTTATGGCCCCCTCGGGGCGGGGGCTAATTTTTGACACAAGAGGCAAAATTTTCAACAACTTTGGTATAGAGTGACCTATAGATGATTGATCATTTAAACAAATATTATAAAGCTCTAAACCTTGTACCTTCAAAATATAAGATTTTTTGATTTTTTTTGACTATATGTATATATTGGAAATCAAGTGAATCCCCGTGGCATGGGCCAATTTTGACCGCCAGGGCTATAATTTTGAAAAATCTTGCTAAGAGGTTTCACTATACAATGTTTCATGCAAATATCTAACCTCTAGCATTTGTCAATTGCTAGAAGAAATTTTTTTAACAAGTTTTTACTACCATAAGTTTTTTACAAATATACATATAAAAAAACCAAATACCCCCGGGGCGGGCCCTATTTTGACCCCAAGGCTATAATTTTGAACAATCTTTGCTGAGGTTCAATACACAATGCCTTTATGCAAAATATCTTAAGCTCTAGAGCCCCTTGTGGGGTCCTTTACAAGAAGGTATTTTAAGGGTTTTTTACTATATGTACATATAGCGTAAATGCAATCGACCCCCCCCTCTCCTGGCGGGGCCGATTTTACCCCAGGGGCTATAATTTTGAACAATCTTAGTAAGGGGTCACAAGACAATGCCTTATTGCAAAAAAATCTAAGCTCTGGGCCTTTTGGATCTTTACAAGAAGGTATTTTAAGTGTTTTACTATATGTACATATAGTGAAATTCAATTAAACCTTCCCCCGGGCGGGGGCCGATTTTTGACTCCAGGCTATAATTTGAACATTTTAAGTAAGTGTCTACAAGACAATGCCTTGTGCAAAATATCTAATGCTCTGGGGCCTTTTGGGTCTTTACAAGAAGTATTTTTAAGGTTTTTACTATATGTACATATAGTGAAAATCAATGACCCCTGGGGCGGGGCCGATTTTGACCCCAGGGCTTATAATTTGAACAATCTTAGTAAGGGTCTACAAGACAATGCCTTATGGGCAAAATATCTAAGCTCTAGGCCTTTTTGGGTGTCTTTACAAGAAGATTTTTTTAAATTTATTCTTATAATTCCTTTTGGTTGCCATGGCAACCAGATTTTCTGCATGGAATGAAATTCTTTGAACAACTTTGGGAAGCCCTTCACCCAGGATCAATCCTTGCCAAGTTTTTCGGTTGAAGGATTGGACAAGTGGTTTTTCACAAGAAAGATCTTTTAAGTTCACTATATAATTATATAACAACCACACACACACAACAAACAAACACCACACCACACACCCACAACACACACACACAACACACACATACACACAGGTGAATCGCTATATGCCACCGCATCGCAGATGCTGCGGTGGCATAAAAAACAAAACAAATTGAGCAATACTTACAAGTCGAGGTAGAGCCATGCCAGTAACAGAACATACAAGTTTGACCGTTGACCCGTTTAGAAACCACTCTTACTGAAAAATTCTCATTTTCTGATTCTTTATCATAACTGAAACAAAAAAAAATCTAAATATAACACATACCGGGGGCTGTTTAAAAAACCCCTTAGTTTTAAAAAAAAATTTAATTAAGGAAAAAAAAATCTCTAAATTTTGGAGTCAAATATTCCTTTAAAAGTAAAAATTTCTAAAAGGGTTAATTTTCTTCTAAATGAAAAATTTTTTTCAAAAAGAGTTTTCTCTATTTGAATAAAAAAACGGGCGAGCACTTTATTTAACCTTAGACAAAATATTTTTTTATTTTTCCCAAACCCACCAAAAAACTTGCTAAAAAGCTTTGGTTTATTAACCCACATATAAAAATTTTATTTTTTTCTTCTTAATTTTTCAAAATCACGGAAATGGGCTTTTTTCAAAGGAACCCAAAAAAATGAAACAATAACACAAAAATTTTATGAAAAAAAAACCAAAAATTGTTTGAAACAAATATATTTTTTTAAACCTTTATCACTACAATTTTAAAAGTTTTTGAATCAAAGGCCAATATGTTTTTTCTGAAAGTTCTTTTTTAAAAAAAAAACAAAGAAATCAAAATTTGTTCATCTTTTTCTTCTAATTTGTATAGATAAAGTTATAGCTTTTTTTTAAAATTGGAATGCAAAATACAAAATAACACATGCATAAGATTTTTAAAAAAATGTAACTAAAATGAGTTTTTCTTATATTGGGAAAAAAAAATTTTTTTTCCTTGGAACATGATACAATATAGGTCAAAAAAGGGGGAAAAAAAATTCCCACTAAAAGCAACCCCCCTGCATTACAATAAATATCGCACTATTATAACGACTTTTTAAGGTTAACTTACGTAAATGTATTGTGAAAGCCCCCCTTTTAAGAAAATAGCGTAAAATTGCCGTCCTCCACGTGCAGATAGCGTGTACTTCACAGTCTGTGACTAATCTGTTAAATAAAGCTACTTTGTCCCTGATGCTATACATACTGAAATAACAAATATCATTAAAGTCTCGACACTGAAAAATAGTATAAAGATACATTATTTAGGCCTCATACATCGCCCAAAAACCCCGCCATAAAAACCAAAATTTTTACCAAAAAAGTGTGTTCTTGCGGGAGCCGCAAAAACATTCTGAATTCTTTTAAAAAGGGCGCAAAGGGGTTTCGCAATCGCCAACTGATTTCTCAACTGCACAAATTTTTTCTGGAATTTTTACAAATTTTTGGAGTCCAAGACTGTCGTTGATTTTTAGCAAAAAAATTTTCCTTTGGGGTTTTGTAAAAAATGTTTTGGGTTTTTCTCGAAGGGCCAGGGGTTTTCCGCTAGGGATCTTTAAGCTACCCCCCGGTTTAAACCAAAAAGACAGATAAAAAATCTTTTTAAACTGGCAATTGCCCCCGACCTTTCTACGGCACAGGGGTTTTTAAAACTAAATTTGTGTTTGTGATTGGGTAGAGGCTTAAATCAATTAAAAACTGAATAAGCTGGGATGTTATTAAATTTCCTTATTTCAAGTCATATAAGTCATAAAAACTTCTGACCAACATAGTGGGCACCGCAATTATTAAGCTTTCCCCCACTGTAGTTTTTGGGAAAACCAATCTTTAAGTAAAACTTAAAAAGCATATATTAAACTGGTTCCTGTTTTATTTCATTTCCCCCAAACCGATTTTTTTTGGTTTTGTTTATTTTAATATACTCCTTAAC